CCTGAAGAAGATATCACAGGTTCATCAAGTTCGTCGAAATGATCCTCGATCACTTTTAGTCAGCTTTGAGAAACTCCTCTCAGCTAGCCTAGCACGTCTTTTCAAAGTGAAAGTAGCCTTGTCACCTGACCTGAATACAGCGCGCTGATTCGCTGAAATAGATTTATCGGCTTCTGTTCAAAGACAACAAGGCGCTTGTCGGCTTCTGCAGTAAAACGTGAACTCGCGATGCCTTGAAAGTGGACAAAACTGGCTTTTTTGACAAAACGTGTTTAGGGTTCAGATCGTGCTATATGTGGAGAATAATGCACGGCAATCAGCTCACTTTTATTGAAAGTGGCGTTTATCAGTGTTTGCAAAAAAACTAATAAAATATATATATATGAATTAAAATGTGTATATCATGAAACAAAAGCACTATATTTTGTTTCCATAATATTTTTTATTATTTAGAATTGCAAAGTGATTTCATAGTATTAGATAATATACACAACATTTATATAGAAATAAATAGTGCATTATTTATTTATTTTAACTTAAACACTACATTAATTTTAAATGATATGAAATGGTTTTTTTCTAATATTTTATTATTTTATATAGAAATAAATGGTGCATTATTTACAACATTCATTTCTATATAAAAATAAAATATATTATTAATATAATATAAATTATAAACATATTATAAATATAATATTTAAAATTAATATAGTGTTTAGGTAAAAAAAAAAGAGAGTAATTTATGTATATGAATTATAATATGTATATTATAAATCATTATATATAATTATTAATTACAATTAATTATTAATAAATATAATCATGAATAATGCATTCTTTAGTTGCTTATAAAGAGTACTTACTTTTAGGTTTTATATTTGCATATATATTTATATATTGCTAAAGACTGCTTCATCATGGCTGATTTGTAGATTGAATCCAAAAAGTTGCTCTGTATTTTCCTATTTTTCCTATTTCCTTTTAATTTCCAATGGAGGTCATTTTTGGCCATATAGCCTTTTCTATTTTTTATTTTGTGTTCATATACTGTAGCAAGTGGCAAGAAAGTAACAAATTTTGTATCGTTCTGATTAAGTAAAATTAAAATAAATAAATAAATACAAATAAAAGCAAACTCTGTCTAAACTGGCAGAAGACTAGCAGAGGGTTAGAGGCAGCTAACTAGGTTTAGTTCGGTAGGTTAGTGTTAGTGTCTCACCGGTCTGATGTCCTGATCCTCTTCATCGTCTCTCTCATGCGTCTGATCTTTCTCTTTCACTGCTCGCTGTTTTACTGTAAAGACGAGAGGAATCCATGTGTCATCCCCACACAACAACAAACGTCTGAATATATGGAGGAATGTACATCCTTGCTTATCTACTATACCTGTTATCTTGTTTATTGTGTTCACATTATTTTTCTACTTTGTATTAATATTTTGCTTTTATTCTAAAATTATATATTTATTTAACTTTTTTAATTATTTCAATAATTGTTAGCTTTTCACGAACAGTTTTGGAAATTCTTGGCTAGTAATTAACGTTTCTGTAACTTTTTTTTTACAAAATGCAATATCTATCTATCTATCTATCTATCTATC